TATGGATTTGCAGGGCTGATAACCTATATCAGCCCCGCAGATCCATATCAGCCCTGCAGGGCTGATACGGCTATTGTGACGTCAAATATCACACCCTTAGTAAATTAAACCACAAAAACTTGTGATCATACACAATTTTTGGTGGGTTCATATTCTCTTAATTTTAACTTTTTGAAAATAAGGTTAATCTTAATTTACAAATACTTGTAATAGATTAATGTCAAATTACGGATCTAGTGCATTGAAATAGAAGTAGAAACAAACCCAAATCGTATGAGACAATAGACCATGTATATCTATGTAAGAAGTCCATGCATGATTATTTACTTATTTTCTTTTAAACTTAATGTATGCTGTAATTTATTACTAAGTATGTAATAAACATATTAATACATACCCTTTTCCACATCACATCCTTTATCAGCCCTCGACCAATATCAGCCCTCGGGCCTTCGGCCCTCTGGCTGTTATTGGTGTCTCGGGCTGATACAGGATGTGATATGGAAAAGGGTATGTATTATTCTCTATATAAATTATTTTGACTGTTCCTCAATGCTTCAAAGGTACATGTATATATTTACTAACGTAAAAAATACTAAATATTACAAAGTATGAAGGAATGATTTGTAGAAATGGAATGAACAGCATAAGCTATAGTCTGGCAATTTATGATAGAACTTTATCATTTGAAGAAAGGACTTCGCTAAGAAATTAATTTTAGTCAACTGTATGAAAATCTGGCAACATTTGTCCTCATTCCTCCTCATCTGACCTTTGAACTTCTGAAGCAAATTACATCCACTTCACAGTAAATGGCTTCAGGAGGTCAACAAGTGGAAGATAAACCATCAATGTCTACAAATCAGTGGGGATTTAAAAAATTAATAATTACTAAACATTTACAACAACGACAAAAATATTTTGATTCATAATAATTAATTAAAATTAACACTAAAATATGGCTATAAAGGTTGAAATAGATCAGGTAAAATTGTGTATATGGGACTGTCGATCAATATGCTTTGATGCAAAGAAAAGCTTTCATTGTCTTTTGTAATATAAAAAACTAACCTTATTATTTGAGTCATATTTAAACTGAGCAGTTCCACCATTAACAGTGACTGTCTTTGGTTGTGCATCTACTCCAGCTATGTAGAGGAATTCTAGTTTCATGTTCTCTCCTGTGTAACCTGCCTTCATCACTCCAGAGGTAACTGTGTTCTAGAGAATAAAAAAAGACTTTGATTTATCTACTTGTCAAAGTGCCCTCAAAAATGTCAAAATTAAACTATAATAAAAAAAAAATGGTAAAAAATATTGAAAGCTAATTTACCTTATCTGCCATAAACATGATCATGTTGAAGGTTCCACTTTCATGTGTACCTAATAAAGGTGAAAACAAATCAGAACAACTGAATATTGATGTGTGAAACAATTGTGTGTATATGCTGTATATAAATCAAAATAAATGGTGTTTTCAGTTAATATACTATAATACCTATAGTCTCTCCATCGTCCCAGAACAGCCCTCCCTCTGCCTGTCCTGTTCCATTCAGGGCCACAAACAAGTTAAAATTGTTCTTACGACTGAAAAAAGAAATATTGTTCATGCTGTTTAAAGAATTGCTCATTCATCTTTAATAAAGATTTCAGATATAAAAGAGAAATTAGTAATGTTTTAACTTGAAGAAAGTCCCCTATAACAGTAATGTTAATTAACTTATCATATTCTTTGAATATTGATGTTATAAGTTATTAAAGTATCAATTGCCATGTATATCAAGGTCAGACAGTTGATAAATTTATACCATATCCATTGCATCTATCTTCTTGATAACTCAAAAACAATTATTCTTAGTAAATAATATTCTTAATTATATAAACATGAACAAGGGATTCGTGTGTAGAATTAAAAAATGGGTGTTTTTAAAAATTGATTTTTATTTCACAAGGAGACAAAAATCGTCTTGAGCACTTAACTTTGAAGGGCAAAGCATAATGACTATTAAGTTTCACCTCTCTGTTGTAGTCATTGAAGCTGCCTTCATCGGTAAAATATTTCCTCCTCTGACATACAAGTTGATGGCATCCAATGGTGCATCCACACTCATTCTGGAGCCATTACCCATAATCCTGTTCCCTGTAGCAAAGTCATACCAAACAGTTGCAGGAAAGTATGTGTTCAGCTTAGTTGTGTCCTACAATGAAAAAAGCTGATGATTAAAGATCTGCATTGTGTTGTTTATTGGATTTAAATTTAATAGTCTAAAAGGAGGGACTGATTTATAATGGTATACAGGGTTATTTTCGGCCCATGTTATTTTCTCCCTTTTGCATTTGTGAACAATTTTGCCCTGTTTTAAATTTGCCCAATCATGGTTCTGTTTAAGAAATTATGCTGTGTAATTTGAATTTGCCTTGTTTTAAATTTGCCCAATCAAGTAGAGGGCGAAAGGAGCGAAAATTTCCCTGAATACAGTATTATGTATTGTCACAGCTAACCTTGGTTAACACTGGGGTGATCATTAAAGCTGAGCCCAGCATAAACTGATCATCAATGCTGTATGTGTTGGTATCATGTGGGAATCTGTTAAAAAAAATAGGTATCTACAGAGATTATAATGGGGTCCTCTTTTGCAATTCTCATATCCTGCTTTTGTACCTTCATTTATGATTGTCTTGTTAAAGTTATAGTAATTTTAATGGATAAAGTATTTGGCAATGATTAATCTTAAAGTTTTAATCTTTTTAAAAATTATTTTATACTTAATTCAATTCTAATCATTACTATGTACATCTGTATGCATTGAATAAGAGTCACCACTTACTCAAAGAACAAAGGTCTGGCCACAGTTTCTCCCATGGCATTGGACTTATGAAATAGAGTGTACAGATAAGGAAGCAGTATGTATCTGGTAGTGAGGGCTTTTCTGGTGGAGTTTTTCATGGCGTCACTAAATACTGCAGGATCCTGGGCCTAAAATACAGAAGTAGTTAAAAAAATTACACCATTAAAAAATTGTTGACAGAATATTAATAGAACATACAAAATTTTGAGGAAATATAATAAAGACATTGCTTTCAAAAGGAGATAAATCTGAGATTTGTATCCAGTTTTGTTACCTTCTTTCCAAGATCATTGTGGTTTCTGGAGAAGGGATAAAAAGCTCCCAGCTGTTGCCATCTTTGACATAACTGTTCTGTGGTGTCGTCATGGAAACCACAAATATCAGCACCAATCATGGAGATGCCAAACATATTCATATTCAACATTTCTGAAATCAGACACAAATTAATTATATATAATATTCATTGGAATCATTCAAATAATTTCAAAGTTTCTGCATTCAAATATTGTGCACAACAACTGCACTGCACAGCAATTCATAGGGCTAAATGTTGAACTACACTATACATTGGTCAGGAATTTTCTCAAAAAAACATTAATAACATTCTGACCTGGTATAGAGAGAGCCATATCTTCGTAACGTGCAAAGTTATCTCCAGACCAGTGTCCGCCATATTGTCCCTGACCGGCAAAAGTGGAGCGAGAAATCACAAAAGGTCTTGTTCCTCTTACAGTCTTCAGAGCCCTAGGAAAGCATCATGATTTGTACATGTACACTGAGAGTTAATGTGATTTTTCAAAAATAACCTTTTTGCAGTATAGGCCAAAAACAAATGTTAGGTTATCAATCTTGGACAAATATGTACTAAATTACAGAGTAAAGAGTTGTATCAAATTTTCCTTCATAAAAAACCTTACATTGCAGTGTGATATTATAAGGTTAGGACACATGTAAAATACATTATATTCAAATAAATAAACATTATAAATGACAAATAGCATACTGATATGTTGCCATGGTTTCAGTTAAACCATACAAGTCATGGACATTGTAGGTCAAGGACGCATTCTGCTGAGCTGAGGCACAGATTGTCCTTGACTTCAAATGATCACCAAGGACAGCTGAAAAAAGAAACAAATTTTGCTGTTAATTTGTTACAATTAAAACATTAAAATGTTTAGAATTTTACTCCAGATTTATGGTTATTAAACATTAGACTTTAAGGTGAATGATTTTTTTCTGACAGGTGATTTTTTTGTGCTCATTGCTTTTACTATGATGGAAAAAGAAGAAATAACATCATAATATGTTTTAAAGATAAGTAATCAATGAATTATATGTATATTGCATTTTGATTAAGAATTTGAGAATAGAAAGGAGATGGAAGGAGAAAATACACCCCCTAATATAATAACATGTTTTCAAAACGATGTTTTACTGGATTTTATTGGGAACTTTTATTACGTTGCCCTCGGTATTACGATATTTTACCATGACAAAGTGGACATCGTAATAACAGGACTCTACTGTACCTGGAACATATGGTGGATTGTCATATTTATTTTCTTGGCAACCAGTCAGTGAGCCATCAAAGAAGTTGGAGAGTTCATTCATATCCTACCAAATTATATATTTTTATAAATCTATGTATACTTTGTATTATTTCACTTTTGACACTAATATCAGGAAATAAACCATACTAGGTAATCAAAAACATTATCTTAAATCTCTTAAATCCATATGAATAATCATTAATTCCTTGGATACTTACAATCCACATTCCATCAAACTTGACTTTGTCATGAAAAGCTTTGGTCATCTGTGTCCAGTAGTCTGTAGTCTTTGGATTGGTAAAATCTGGGAACACCACATTTCCTGGCCAGACCTAACAAAACAAATATTTCCCTATTCATAATTCAATGAGTAGCCACAAATAGAAGTGATAGCTTTTGTTACTTTGATACTCTACATCATATACTATATAAGAGACACATTCAGACTTGTGTGTATAAATTGACACACAAAATCTGACACCACTTTTAATTTCTAAAGAGTCTATGGCTCTCTGAATCAATATTTAGGATACCCCTGACCAATAGTGGTTTTTGGTAATACCGACAATCATTTTTTCCCCTTGAATAATCTTATCAGTCAATAGTTTTCTGGGATTAACTTCTAAATCAGTGGATGGGATTAACTTGCCAATCTGGGTTTTTTTCTTAGGATAACCTTGCTTATCAGAGGTCTTTTCTTGAGTAACCTGTCTATCAGTGGTCTTTTCTAGAGTAACCTGTCTATCAGTGGTCTTTTCTTGAGTAACCTGTCTATCAGTGGTCTTTTCTTGAGTAACCTGTCTATCAGAGGTCTTTTCTTGAGTAACCTGTCTATCAGTGGTCTTTTCTAGAGTAACCTGTCTATCAGTGGTCTTTTCTTGAGTAACCTGTCTATCAGTGGTCTTTTCTTGAGTAACCTGTCTATCAGTGGTCTTTTCTTGAGTAACCTGTCTATCAGTGGTCTTTTCTAGAGTAACCTGTCTATCAGTGGTCTTTTCTAGAGTAACCTATCTATCAGTGGTCTTGGGGAACACTTTATACAGGGAAATTTTTGCCCCTTTTGCCCTACATACAGGTGGACGAGTTTAAGATGGGGCAAATTAAAAGCGCTCAGTATAATTTCTTAAACAAAACTGTGACTGGGAAAATTTAAAACATAGTAAAATTGTTTGCTAGTGTGGAAGGGTGAAAATAACCCTGTACAGAGTACTTTGCCCATCAGTGGGTTTTGGGAATATTGTCCATCAGTGGTTTTGGGGTCCGGGAATACCTTGCCCATCAGTGGTTTTGGGGAATACCTTCCCCATCAGTGGGTTTGGGGAATACCTTGACCATCAGTGGTTTTGGGGAATACCTTGACCATCAGTGGTTTTGGGGAATACCTTGCCCATCAGTGGGTTTTGGAAAAAATCTTGCCCATCAGTGGTTTTGGGAATACTTTGTCCATCAGTGGTTTTGGGGAATACCTTGCCCATCAGTGGGTTTGGGGAATACCTTGCCCATAAGTGGGTTTTGGGAATACCTTGCCCATCAGTGGGTTTGGGGAACATTTTGCCCATAAGTGGGTTTGGGGAATACCTTGCCCATCAGTGGGTTTGGGGAATACCTTGCCCATCAATGGGTTTTAGGAAAATCTTGCACATCAGTGGGTTTCAGGAATACCTTGCCCAGAAGTGGGTTTTTGAATTACCTTGCCCACCAGTGGTTTTCCTGTGCTGTCTTTTATCCAGATGTCCATCTTTGTACCAACATCATATGGAGGGTAAGGGGAAGGGCTCTTATTACTAATTCCAGGATCCTTAAAATGATAGCATGTCAAATTCATTAAAGAGAGAATTGCCATATCAAGAAGAAATGTCAAATTAGAACATTTTTTTAATACATAAAGAAATTCATACAAAGTAGACAGTATATACCACAATCATGACATAGTGCATTCCCATGCTGTGTAATTTGTCCACCATTGCAGCCTGGTTTCCAAACTTTGTAATGCCTGTTGTGAAATCTCGATATTTCTCCATGTAATCTATATCATTCCACTGTGTGTCCTAGTGTAACAAGGGAAAGAATCCATGTAAGAACATGACTTCAATCTAAAATACTTTCAAATGACATGTGCATGTATTTTTTAATTTTCGTATAACATATACAATAATACTGGATTCACATATACATGAATTCAAAATAGAGTAAACTTTTGTAAACCATAAATGTGTGGATTTTACTCATTCATATACATGTAATATCTTACGGTAATAAAAATAACTTGCCTGGGGAATTTTGGCTTCTTGCATTCTTTTAACCACCTCCATTGTTTCATTCACCGAATGATAACCATATTTACATAAATGGAACCCCAGACTCCAGTATGGTGGCATAAAGGAGTGACCTATGACCTCTGTGTATTGCTGGACAACCTCTCCAGGACTTGGGCCCATAAACATGTACATGTCAAGAATTCCACCAATTGTTCTCCAGGTCAAAGCAGGGGCTGGCTGTAGAACAGTTTCTACAAAATATTGTATATGTTACTCAATGTCTATACTAGTATTTAAAAAAAAAACTTTAAACATGTGATGAAAAGGTTAATTATGAAATAAAGTTAATACATTTAAAACTGCACATATGTACCTTTGGCATTGCTGTTAAGGAGGAAGAAACCATGGCTCCTTCCTCCATCTTCCATCATCAAATAAAATGGATGATGACCATATAAATTGGTACCTGTATCAGGATCCTGTATAAAGGTGTCAATATAATATAAATAATACATGTGTCTTAATTCAAGACCCTTTTTTTCTAATTTAACCCTTTTTTCTTTAAAAAAAAAATAAGAAACAGCAAATATTAACAGTTATTATGTCAGGAAAATAATTTTTTTAAAAATTCAAAAATGATTTCAAAATTTTGAGGTTTCTTACATGAGGAGCCTGATCTCTGTTCCACATGGTCAATCTCCTCCAGTCCATGGATTGAAGAAGCCTGCCTCGATGTTCACCGAGTCCATATAGGAATTTAGAGGGGAGGAATGTAGATAGCTGGATAAACTGATCTGCAAATATCACAGGAGCTGCTCCAGAGGTGTTGAATCTGTAATATTAAGCACATTTCTTAGTTGTCATTCTATGGGAATGATTTTAGATTCATAAAAAAATCCAAATAACCACATTGATGAAATGGTACTTTTATATAAATGAGTGATAAAATTTTTGGCTTCAATAAATTTGAGGGTTTATAACCTTCAAAATGAGATTTATACTAAAAGCTTTGCCAGCTGTGATAAGTTGTTTTTCTATTATGAACTGAATTTACTCACAAAACAGCTGGTTTGTCAGCTGGTGTCAACATTTTTCTCACCACAGCGAAGTTAAATGGATCTCCTGTTTTACTGACAACCACTGAATATTTCTGTGTGGGTGCTGCTTTTGTCACTTTTGGTGTATTCAAGGGAACTTCGTATCTTGCATTTTTTGGATCAAATATCTATTGAAAATTCAGTTTTTAGCTTTTAAAAACATTCACAGATTTTACTTTTCACAGAAATTTGTACATATTTATCAAATTACTTACTCTGATTCTTAATCTGTAATCTGTCTCATATCTAACATCCATAACCAAATTCAGGACATCATCTGGATAAATAGCTGTGGTGTTCCTATTCAAAGCTACAGAAAATCCTGTTGGTGTTATTGCTTTTAGTCCTGTCTTATACCCTGGAAAATTTGTAGGAAAGTAACAGTAGGGGACACCCATAGGTCTGTTGATAGGGTTCTTTTCCTGATTCTGGAATGAACCTGAATGTGGAATTTGCCAGCAGCATCCTCGTGCTTCACATTTTGCTTTGTCAGTGAGTGCCTCTGGGTAGCAGTCAAATTTATGAGCATCATCAATAACAGAACACTGACTAGTGGATTGAATTATCTGTTCATTTTTACTTCCCTTTTTATTATTATCTCTGAATGTTAAATACAGCTGTTGTAGCATTGGCACTCTTTCAGTCTTGTCTTTGCTGGGTCTGATGGCATCTTTTTCTTCATGAAATGACTGAAGGTCACTTGCTTGCAGAATGATGATTTGCACCCTGGGCACAGAACACAAGTGGTATGTAAGAGCCAAAATCACAGCCATCAAAAACAATATAAAGCTGGCAAGCACCACATTTTTGTTTCCCATTTTTGGCAGTTTTCCTTAAAAAGAAAAATTAAATTAATTTATATAATTCATTATATCAACACACATTTTTTTTTATTCGATTTAAGCTTATATTTTTTTTTAAAAAGACCACTTATTATTTCTAAAATGTTCTCCTCCTTAGGATTAAATGACTCAGCTTTTGAAGAGGATATTGACTGCATTAAATAAATGCATCTGAGACCATGTACATGTGATGTATGTCATAAACAATATAAACTATGAAGTTGTTCTGCAATTTGAAGCTAAGTGGGCCATTGAACTTATGTCACACAAATGTAGCTTACAGCATATTAGTTATTATACTTCACAAACTTGGTATACTGTTGAGCCAGAGTATGCACACACACAAAAAAAAATTAAATTAAATTATAAATTTACCCCATATTACGCTAAAGAAAATTCTTCATTTTTCTGCATTACTGAGTAAAGCATACTTTAGTCATTCACATTTTTTTTTCACATTAAGATACATCAGGTACGTTGACCCATTATAAATTGTTCAAACTGGATATAATAAACAGTCCATTTGAGATATAATAATAATATAACAAATGAGATAAAGCTTTACAGTGCAAAGAATCATTAAGCTACATTTACAAATTCGCATCAAAGTAATGAAAAAAATGTTTATAGCAATTTTTTTGCATCCTCAAATCCCTTAGTTCTGGACCCTTTGGTTATTGAAGATTGCATCGCACAATATCAACAAGCAGAATCAAGCATGGAAATAAAAGCAAATGATTCACAGCACATGCAAAAAAACTATAACAAACCTTCTCAGGGCTTAAATCTCTCAAGATCAACTACATTGTCACCTGATCAGCTGTGAGTGAATTCGAAAGTAGAATCACATGCCAAAAATAAAGATTGTCGATCCCGATTTTTTGTTTGAATGAGGCGCTGCGTGTGTAAATAGAAATAATCTTCACCAATTCTGTATTATTTTAATATGATTTTAAAAAAATGAGATCTTTACAATTTTCTCTCCGTATTAAAGCCTTTAAAGAATATATAAAGTCTAAAAAAAAGTTCGTGTTTTCGGATATATAAAAAATAACGAGCCCGACTTTGGAAAGTATCGTAAGTGTTCGACTTTGATGAGGTTGTAACAGTTTTGCATGTTCAATTTAAGGCAAATATTTCGACTTTTTGGGAAAGGAATTGTATTATGATTATCCCAGTGGCATGAACCCAAAGAAGAGGGACTTTCACTGACTGTCAAAATGGGGGAACACTTTTTAAAAACTTTATAGAAACTTATTTTGTCCATTTTGATGGCTAGCCATTTTGATAGACAATCATATTTTGATAGTCTAAACATTATCAAAAGAGTGGACCCATGATGTCTTAGTTTTTATGTTAAATTATATCCAGGAAATTTCATTGAAAATAATGCAACATAGAGCATGTAAGATGACTCATCAACTTTCTAGTGCAAATTTTTTTATTTGTATTGATTTAACTTTGCCTGTATTTAAAATTGATTTTCCCCATTTTTGTATGCTATAGTACAGACAGATCTTTCAGAGTGAAGTACGTCCCATAGATTATGCCTGTACACAAAATGACTTGCTGGGTAGGACTGACAGTACTGCTCCTGTGTATAGTGTCTGAGACCACCAGTCAGGATAACCAGTGGGATGACAGGGGCTACATCATCTTCTGTCTGTGTATGGGTGAGTTTATGTATTTGTACTGTACTTATACTAATACATGTATAAGGCTGATGACCCCACCCACCCCCATCCCCACCCCTTGTGTTTTTGTGCTGCTTTTGTATGGACACCATAGAAAATTTGAATTATCATCTAGCTGCTGACATATGTTTTTACTATAATGTATATATCTCTCAGCCTTTAAGTGACAAAAAAAAAGATATTAATTACTGTTGATTTAAATGTTTGGTCTGAACTGTATCTCTTTATTTCTGTTGTTAATACATATATTTTTGGGTTAATCAGGGCGGTTTGGTAACCAAGCAGAGCATTTTCTGGGAGGATTAGCATTTGCCAAGAAAATTGACAGAACACTGATAGTCCCTCCTTTTAGGACATATGTAAGTACATAAATATCTGTACGATGTTAATGGAGCATTGTCTGTAGTTTGCTCAGAAAGAACTAAATTAAGATATGTATCGATCCTTGATTCATCAGTGAATCAGGGTGTCCCAAAGGGGACATTTAAAAAGAAGATGGGGATTTATATAATGATGATATCATCATTATAGGCAGGGAAATTCCCAGGCCCCCACGTCTTAGGGACAAATCTGTCAATGTCTGATATGTTCGGAGTTTATTATGTCTGCAGGTCATAAAAAGTGAGATTTGTGGCCTATGGGCCTCTTGTTTCATGAAACTTCAGGTTTATATTTGTGTTTTTCAGAATTGTCATAACTTAGTGAAAAACAAAAATATGCTGTAATGTCAATTAACTATTTCTATAAGATGTTATGTTTCTCAATATATATCCATTTGAACTCTCTGAAAAATTCCATGTTGATAATTTTTTAAAACACCTACCTGTGAAATCAGAGAGGACTTAAGATTTTCTATTAGTCTGTCTATCTGTCCATCCATCCATCTGTCTGTCCCACTTTGTTTTTTGCACTTTTTTCCTGACTGCTTGCAGAAATTGAGCTGATATTTGGTATGTGAGTGAATCTTGATGAGTTACAGATCAAGTAAACATTTCGTTCCATTTCATTGATGTTTGACGGAATTCATGCAGGCATTTTCAATTTTTAACAGGAACCAGATTTCTTTTGCCAGTAGGGGACTAGTATTGCTAATGCAATACTCTCAGAATGCTTGTTATTATCATTATAAATGCATTTTATCTTAAAGATCATTTTCTCATTTATTGATTACATTGTGTTTTGACAGAAACAATTTGTAGGTAGCATAATTATACATCTATTTAAAAAGTATGGCTTTTGTACTTTATGGAATGGTAACATATTTAATATTCTAACTAGTGCATGAAATGATTTCTTTATCTTTGAACTGATTTTTATTGGAGTGAATTTTCTTTAATCATCTTGAAATTGTATTCATCAAATATATGCTGTTGAATTTTTTGAAGAAACAATATCTTGACAGAATGATTTTCTAAGGCAGTAGCTTAACTTTTCAGGCAATAAAATGTACATGTTTTGATTGCAGAATGATAGACTATTGTATGGTCTTGATTTTTATCTTAAATATTTTTTCTCTGCTGAAGATAACTGATAAATTTACATGGATTGATTTTCCTTAACTGAGCAATATGAATTTCTAAATTTTATATTAACCAGTAATTTAAATTATTTGAAAAAAAAACTTAAATGTATAAATAATCAAATATACATTTTATAAATACAGTACTGCTCCGATCTTTGTTGCAGTATGTGAAAAGTAACAAATATGTGACAAAATTTAATGATGTTTACGTTTTACTAAAAAAGGAAAAGTCAATAATTCTTGATTTATTTATTTATATTTATTTTTAAGCTACCTTATTATTTTAATACTTTTTGCACTTTAAGCAAAATCACAAAATACATGTCAGAACATAAAACATTGATTCTATTTTAGAAAAATATAGAGTTTGATGAATGGTTTAAACTGGAGCCATTAAAGGAATATCACCGTGTCATCCTAGCCAAGGACTTTATGAGAGACCTCGCCCCCACCTACTGGCCCCCAGGAAATCGGACGGGGGTCTGTTATGGGAAACCTGGGAGGGAGTGCCAGATGAAGGAGGGAAACCCATTCGGTCCATTCTGGGATGGTCTGGGGGTAGACTTTGATAAAACAATATCAACGGAGGCCTATTATGGGGATCCAGATGTATGGAAGGAATTGTGAGTACTATAAATAAAATATATTTCATATATCAATATTTTCTTTTTATTGAAAATTGTAAAACAAAAAACCAAAAACAAAATTATTTTGATCACGCATTTTTTTCAAATGCCTGATGTGCAAATAAAGGAGGAGACCCTATTATTTGTGACACTGTAAGATGACTCTGTTAACATTGAAATTTGTTTTCTTTTTTCTGTGTAGGAGTTTAAAAAATTGCTGTAGCAGTTGGGAAATATATCCTTGAGGCCTGAGATTTTGTATGAAAAAAAAATCGGGCTCATCTTTTATCCCCAAATATTGAATAAAAATTGATTCTCAGAGTATTTTCTCCAACAATTTCTTATAATAATAATTAGTTGCTAAAGATACTGTCATATTTCTTGCCTTTCAGATATCTACTTGTTCTTATTTCAGACTTCCTGTAGATAAATACCCTGTAGTTGCCCTTCGGGGTGCCCCAGCCCCTTTTCCAATAGCTGAGGAAAATATTCCATTGGCCAAGTACCTCCAGTGGTCTGACAGTATAGAAGAGGAGGCTAACAGCCATATACAGAAACTCATTGGGAAGGAAAAGTTCATAGGCATTCACTTAAGGAATGGAATAGACTGGGTAAAAGTCCTAAAGTCAAATATAAAGCCACCTGATAGGAGTTAAAACTACTTAAGATAATCCGATTCTCAGGTTAATAAAATTCGCAGTTAAGTAATTGAAAATACTCATAAAAATATCTCTGAATCCACAAAGTAATGTAATTTTACCCACAGAATTTCTTAAAATTAAACATTAAAGTTAATCATAGTATATGGGGAAAATTGTCAAATCTCCAATATATATTCAGAAAAAGCGAATAGAAATATCATTTTCTCCTTGCAAATTGATCAACAAATATATCTTAGGTTAAAAAACAATAGGTATCCAGGCATTCAGAGAAATTGTCATGATTGTATACTTATTTGGTATTCTATGTCTTCTATTTCCTTCATGTATTATATAATACACAAAGTAAAATGCTTCTGCTATCATTGCAAGACACCACAAATCAGTTCTAATTTCAATTCATACTAATAAGCATTGGTATCAAAGGCTCAATTCAAGAAAATCTTACTTCTTTAAAACTGTATTTTTTTTTTTCCTTTTTTGGGGTACAAATGTCAACTTTTATAAGACCTTTTCCAAGACTTCCACAAACCTCAAATCATATAACGATGAATATGATGAAAATTGTTGCATGGAAAGTTTTCATTTTCAAGCCTCATATTCATGCTTTTTAAATTAAATATTAAGTTTTGGAGTTATCCTTCCTGGCTGAGGATCGGATATCCTTAAAATAGTAATAGTGAAATATTCTAGAGGAATGTTGATTATATAAGTCTCTGTAAGAATTTGTTTCTGATCCTTTTTCCTTTCTGTCAATAAATATATCTAATTCAAAGAGTGTAGGGAATGTTTGTAAATTTGAAGAGTTAAACATTTAAAACTTAAAGTCAGTCGTTTGAGAAAATGAATTCTTGTTAATTATTTATTGTGTCATATTTTTAATACTAAATTTCGACGCATTTTTCTTTTATTTAGAAATTATTTTGTAGCAAAATGCCTGTGAACACGTGGAGGGAAATGAAAATTATATGGCATCTCCACAGTGTCTTGGATATGGAAGGGGCAAAAAAGTCACTTATAAAATGTGTTTCCCACCTAGAGAGGAAATTCTAAGGTAGATTTTAAATTTTGACTGGATGGCTCAACCAGACTGCTAATTCTTAAACATGAAAAAATCCACTGATTTACATCATATTAATATTTTCCAGGCTAACCAAAAATGCTGTTTTAAGAACCAAGGCAAAGCACATTTATGTGGCCACAGATAAAAATCCCATGAAGGAAGATTTAGAAAACCATTTAAAATCTTTAAAAGTATGTATTCCATGGTAAAAATAGGTGTAAATTTGAATCTTTTTCCAAGAATATTTTTAACAATTTTAATTCCCTTATTGACGTACCAGGTTAAATTAGCTGTTTTTCTATTTAGGTCAAAGTTCATCATCTTGACCCCTGGCTGCCACAGATTGACCTTGCAATTTTAGGCAAGTCGGACGTATTTATAGGGAATTGTATATCATCTTTTACCTCATTTGTCTCAAGGCAAAGACTTGTAGAGAACAAACCAACACAGTTCTGGGGATTTAGCTAGTATAAGCAAATGACAAGCCTAAGAATGTGAAATAGCAACAAAAGAATATTGATGGACTGTAAACATTCCAAAGAAGAGGATATACATCCATATAAATAAAAAGCTTTAATTTTACAGCAGGGTATGGAAAGAAATAGGATTACATTCTTTTTATTTGTTTTCAGACATTCATATTCATTTGCATGAAGTAACAAGATTTGTTCATTATATCTGACATTTTGTTTTAAGATCAGTGAAGTTTATATATATGTAAATCTCAGGTTTTAAAGTATAGTGTAATTTTTGTTGATTTCTGCAAGCTAGTTTTGTTTTTAATTGCCCTGGAGTTGACAGCAAAGAATTAATAGGTCTTTTCAGAATTTTTTATGTATTTTACATTTTGATTGTTGTACTTTACAATTCTGATTGAAATTTTTCATTATCTTTTGTTACAATAAGTATTATATAGGAATTTCTATGTATAAGAGAAAATGAAGAAGAATAGTAAGGTCATTTATTGTGACTCAGGTGAGCTTTGTGGCCTATGGGCCTTATGTTTTAGATGGTGCTATGTATGTCATTGTACATAAAATTTTATAAATACTGTAGATCACTTAATGTTCGCGAAACCTTATTTTCGCGAGATAGTCATTGACTCTTTATTGGCGAGACAAAATTTTCACGAATTGTGGTCGTTGCCTTGTATAATCTTACGGAATTCTATTATACGCGAGAATGAAATTTTCGCGAGTATAGCGTCTCGCGTAATTACGCGAAAATAAAGTTCTCGCGAATAAAAAGTGATTTACAGTAGATTTAAGAATTCTAAATGGATTCATTTTTTATTTGTATATATAATATAAACAACACTGTACATAATTTATATTTGAAAGATAAATACATCACGTTGGATATCAAACAAGCATCAAATAAATATAAAACAACAGTATACCTAGACAAAAAAATGGAATTCTGGAAGACCATATTATTTGGATATAGAATTCCTTTGAAATGGGTCATAATCAACCCATCCTTTAGTGTGTTATGAAAAGCAATATGTGTTTGTGAAAAACTTATGCCCTCTATGACAGTTTATGGTGAGGGTTGAATTTTACAAGTCAACCTCTAAGGTGAGCATGTCAAAATTCCTGGTGAAGGAAGGTATTGTCACAAGAAATAAATTTGTGGAATAAGAAACCCCTAGTTTATCTGTTCCAAAGTTGTGATTGCCAAAGTTAAAGTTTTACAACAATGGGTTAACTCTAAGGTCAAGATCAAAAATATTTAAGTCTATTGAAAGGTTTTTCCAAAATGAATATAAATATGAAGTATGGAAGCCCTACCACCAACTGTTCAAAAGTTATGACCATGGTTAAAGTTTTTTTTATTTTTGATAAATTTTGGTGAAACTCCCTAGTCCCAAGGTCAAGGGTCAAATTTTGTTGTATCCAAAGAAAACGTATTCTAACAAGAAAATACGGAAGCCCTGGAGGGACATTGACTTACTTGTTATGACTTATTTGTTATAGCTTATTTGTTTTGACTTAGTTTGTTTTGAGATTTTTTTGTAAGTTCTAAATAAGTGTAGGTAAGCTATTGAGAACGATTAATTGTAGTTTTGTAGTTAAACGTACAAAACTGATGTAATTACTAAATTTTTATCTGTTGAATACGGACGCCCTTGAGGGATATTGACTTATTCTTCTGTGTTTTGTCTTATTTCTTATGTGTTTTGACTTATTTCTAATGAGTTTTGACTTAGTTCTTATGTGTTTTGACTTAGTTCTTATGACTTAACTTTGAATTCTTGTTATTTGGAGTTTGCTATGACAAGTTTAGTTAACAAAAAGTGGCGTGAAAGATGGAGGCCACGTATAGTTTCAGAAAAAAAAATGTCCTTGAATTTATTACTAACGACAAGATAAAATAGTAGTGACTGTCATGTTCTTGACTTAAATCATTATGCAAACTGGAAGTTACATATAAGAATTAAGTAATAACTTTTAGAAAATAAGAATTAAGTTATAATAACAAAAATAACATTTACTTTAGAAATCACAACTGTACTGGACGTTAAACTTCAATTTGTCAATCAAAAACCACATTTAAAATAGGACTAAATATTATTTTTATCATAAAAGTAAGCCAAGCAACGGGTTTTCAATACTTTTCTTACACTTAGTATAACTAGCTACGAAAAAATCACAACAAATAAGTCAAAACAAAAAAGTTAAAACAAATAAGTCATAACAAGTAAGTCAATGTCCCTCCAGGGCTTCCGTAAGAAATACACCTGTGAAAAAAAAATCCATAGCTCCATCCATTCAAATGTTATTGGCAAAATTAATTTTTTTTTCGGATAAAAAGACAGATGGCCGAACAGGACAAAAGCTATTTATCCCCAAATCTTCGATTACGGGGGCATACAATTGAGCATAAACCTACTAGTATTAGTGTCAATAACAAGTCATTTATACAGACGTGTAATTCCTAGACAGTGCAACTGTTGTAAATATATATTTTTTTTTTGTCATTTTAGCAATTTCCTTGAAAGGTACAAATACATCATGCGTATTTGCGTCAACCATTAAATATCATGATCTAGCTGAAGCACAGTTACTAAACTTGTATCTTTAGAAGCACTTTCTAAAAACTCGTCGAGGGATATTTGTTCATCGTGGTTTTTATCCATTTGTTGAAAGACTTCCTCTATCTTTTGTTGAATAGCTTGTTCATTTCCAGTATCTGCCATGACACCAGCAATTCTGTGTATCGCCTAACATATGAAATACAGATATGTATAAATGGTTCATAAATCCAAAATATTTATATGTATTTATTCAGGCGCGATCCAGGGATTTTTTTTTCGGGGGGGGGGGGGGACCCGTCAAAAAATTTCCAACCCAGAATTTCTTGGCAACCCCCCTCTCCCCCCCCCGGAAACCCTATTCCCAAACGTTAAAAAATGGGTTGGTGGGGGTAGGTAGTCGTTGACTTTTAAAGCTCATACCTAGGACTTTTCAAACTAACCTAACATAGACCTGCGTTTTCGAGGAGGAGTCTGCGTTTCCCAAGGGAGGGGGGTCTAGGGTCACTTTTACTAGGTTTAGTATATATATTTCACGACTCTGCAAAATTCAGTGGGGGGGGGGGGGGGGCCCCACTCTAGATCTACGCATGTTACCAAAACTTATTCTATAAAACAGTACTCAGAAAAAATATATATATTCCTGTGGGTTTTTTTTCAATGCAACCAAATTGTTAGTGTTCATTATTTTAATATGATTTACGCGTTTAACTTAATATATTCATTATTATTATTTAAATGTCAACTCTTATTTGTTCATAAATATTAATAAAAATTCAATTTGACATTTTAAAAAAAATGTGTACTTACTGATATTATATCCTTCATTTCATTTTTGGAAATGAACCCATTTTTGTCTGCGTCGTAAATTTTGAAAGCCCACTTCAACTTCTGTTCCACGGTACCTCGGAGAGTCGCACTGAATCCACAAATAAATTCCCGGAAATCCACGTGACCATCATCATTCACATCGAAAGCTCGAAAAACGTGTCGAGCGAATTTCGAGGCATCTCCTGTCGGGAAGAACCCGATGTACATTTTTTCGAATTCGGCGAGTGTAAGGTAGCCCTTTGGCCAGTCTTTTATAAAATCCTGGTACCACTGCTGTATTTCTTTTTCCGTGAAGTCTGTTTGTTTCCTGAGGTCGGCTATAGTCTCTGGCTTCAGTTTACTACTTTGCTTTCCCATGTTGTACTCAAATTGTGGCTAAAAGAATAGTAAACTCCCCAAATCTGTGTAAATAGTTTCCTACTGAGGTATTTGTAAACATTGCCCTTTCTTTGGGTGGTCAATTAAAAGTAAAATGATTGCCATTTATAGATGTGTAGTTGGATTAGGCCAGAGGGGGCTTATGTGCGTAAACATTTTTTGTCCAAATTTAAATCCACATAAAAAGAAGTGGAAGCTTAATCAAATATATCTGGAGACTATAGAATTATAGATTTTGACCTCTGTCTTTTTGAATATCCTTTGACATGACGTACAAATAATGAAATATGCATGCTCCTCGACAAAACTTTGGAAATTCCGAGGAGGTTCTTTAAAGGGTGATACGAATTCATATCTTGTCGTACAGTATTTTGTTTTCATGGAATTACAGCTTCTTTTATATTTATCATCATTTCTATTCCGAAAATCTGTCGCACAGTGTTCTGTGAACTTGGCAAGATTGTGTTCAAAGAACCTATATGAAATGGTAAAATTTTAGGCCCGTAGAACGCGGGGATCTCTACTTTTTCTGACCATTATAATTTGCTTTGGTAAATTTTCATTTAAATACTTGCTCTCTACCAATTTTTGTTGCTGTAAGGTCAAATACCGCCACATTCCATTATTTAAGGAAAAAAATGGTACAAAAAATAGAATTTTTTCGAGTTTGGATTGTTGAGATTTGGGGATGGGGTGGGGTTGAAGGGGTTGGTCTACCATTCTTAAACCGTTGTACTGGCCTGAATTTGCTATCATGGGGGGATAGTTTATATAAGAATAAAATCAAGAGGCCCAGGGGACAAATCGCTCACCTGAGCACATCGGCTAGGAAAAAAGCAAAAATCAGATCAGAATTGAATACTTTAGGGGGGTTGGGGGGTTGAATTTAAATACTACTTGAGAATGCCTCCATATCAATACAGCATATACCTTTGCTGTTCTTGAGAAAAAAGTTTTTAAAGATTTTTTTACATTTTGTTTGTATATATTACTTCGTTATAATTTGAATTTGATTCGCCGTTGTTTCCCTTCCTACCCCAAAGGGTCATGATTTGAACAAATTTAAATCTTCAATACATGAAGATGCTTACATGTCAATAAGACTAAACATAGCTTTTCTGTTCTTTGGATTTTTCCTTTTATTTTCCTATTGTAAAACTTTGATCCACCATTGAGAGCCCACCCTACCCTTGGGGGTTATGATTTGAACAAATTTAATTCTACACTACCTGAGGATACTTCTGTATAAATATCACTAATCATGGCTTTGCTATTCTTGAGAAGAACATTTATTTTAATATATTTTAATATAAAACTTGGATCCCCCATTGTGGCCCCACCCTACCACTGGGGGTTATTATTTGAGCAGCTAAAATCTACACTGCCTTAGGGTGCTTCCATATAAATATCACTAATCATAGCTTTGCAGTACTTGAGAAGAAGATTTTAAAAGATTTCCTTATATATTCCTATGTAAAACGTTGATTGGCCATTTTGACCCCACCCTACCCCCAGGGGTCATGATTTGAACAAACTTGAATATATATCTACACTACCTGAGGATCATTCAACCTGAGTTTCATCTTTCCTGTCTCAGATGTTCTTGAGAAGAAGATTTCTAATAATTTTCCCTATATATTCCTATGTAAAACTTTGATCGGCCATTGTGGCCCCACCCTACCTCTAGGGTTGTTATTTAAACAAATTTAAATCTACACTACCTGAGTATGATTTACATGAGTTTCATCTTTCCTGTCTCAATGGTTCTTGAGAAGAAGATTTTTCAAGATTTTCCCTATATAATTCCTTTGTAAAACTTTGATCGGTCATTTTGGCCCCACCCTACTCCCGGGGTTCATGATTTGAACAAACCTGAATCTACACTACCTGAGGATGATTTCACATGAGTTTCATTTTTCCTGTCTCAATGGTTCTTAAGAAGAAGATTTTTCAAGATTTTTCCTGTATATTCCTTTGTAAAATTTTGATCGGCCATCGTGGCCCCAACCTACCCCCGGGGGTCATAATTTGAACAAAATTTAATCTACACTACCTGAGGATGATTTCATGTGAATTTCATTTTTCCTGTCTCAATGGTTCTTGAGAAGAAGATTTTTCCTACATATTCCTATGTAAACCTTTGATCGGCTATTATGGCCCACCCTACCCCCAGGGGTCATGATTTGAACAAATTTAATTAAATCTACTCTACCAGTAGCTGCAGATCTGTAGCTCTCCTAATAATTTGACAGACCGGAGATCAATATATTTTTTCGGAGAGCTACAGTTCTGCAGCTACTCTACCAGAGGATGATTCAGCATGAGTTTCATCTTTTCTGGCCCAGTGGACATTTTTAACATTTTCCTGTCCAGTTACAAGAAAAATATGAATGCCAAAAGTCCAGTAGGGTTGCTTTATCGGTCATTGTTTGAAAATACATGTATATTATATAAACAACATAATGTATTTTTGAAAGATTAATAGTCCTACAACTATCACAATAGATAGCAACGTTGTCGTGAAACCGTAATCGCCATATTGTTCTTATCTGACAAGATTGGAATTTGCAGCTTACGTCATTCCCATTTATATTCTAGTTTGAAGTTTATTTTCAATACAACTAAGCTATTTTCATCTGCAAAATATCGATATTCGGTCCAAAATTTAATAATTTCGAAAGTCTAGATAGAACATTTTCTGATTTTGGCAGCAATTTTATTTTGGTCCCTATTGGTTTCAAACTGTGTGGATAATACATGCGTGATGTTACATGTAGATATTGGCGCGGTCAGTTAAATTACCAATATCTAAATTATATTTTCCTATAAGTATAGCCACTAACGAAAGAGTAAGGGGTCTTATATAATCTCTGTTTTAAAGTTATATATTTTAAACGTATTAGTATGATCATTTGAATATTGTACCATACGACTGGCGGTAAATTTAGATTTTGCTTTGATGTTGCTGTGGTGTATATTTGCCAGAAGAATCAGTTTTTTAAGTCACGCCCACTTTTTGGCATCAAGCCATAACAAGACCATAAACAATAATAATTAAGTTACAGGTACTCAAAGCACAGTCCATCTGTAGTACTGACATTTACAATTTATGTGGAATTCTTGACAACATTAAAGACGAAGAAATCGATCTTAGTTTTATTGACAAAATTTTAAACGAATACATGTTGCATTCGCACATCGAGTGCAAAAGAAAAAAATGGGATAAAAAATAATAATCGTAGTAAAACAAATATATAGATTTTCACAAACCATTGTTTACAATAGAAAGTTGCAACGCACGACAATTAACATGTCGTAAAGCTATCAGAGTTGAAGAAGTAAAGATCTCAAAGACGATACGTACATGTATGGTATAGAAAAAAAACAAGGTGTGTTTGTGAAACACAATGCACCCGGCGACAATAAAGGTCGAAAAAGCTATTTTTAGCATATTGATCACAGTCAATGTCATAAGGTCATTGACCTTGGTTACATTTGAAAGAGCTCGAGCTTACTTAGTGGAGAATGCACACCAAATATGAAGTCTCTATCTCACGGTTCTAAAGTTTTGGCGAAGGTTAAAGTCGCCAACAGACAGACAAACAGACAGACAGAACAAAAACATTATACGCCCCCAATCTATCCATCACATAAAAACGAAAAAGAATTTTGTGTAAATAACCATTAAAATCAAGCAAGGAATAATTGGGGAAAAAATTCAGATCAACAAATCCGAAAGAGTACTTGAAAATTAACTGAAAAAAGATCTAAATACGAAAAAAGATAATGAAATATCTGACTTATCTATGTTTTATCATCTGAGGATCTAATTATTCTGTAATTTACAATGTCAGTGGTTCCCCTCCCCCCCCCCCCCAAGTGGTATTCCTATCTATAAGAATAAAAGTTGATGATACTGAACCCAAAAATTAACGCCCAATAACTTAAAATAGTTGTGACTGAGATCTAGAGCTATTTACACCGATTTTAAATGACAGAATTAACAGGGACGTAGTATCCGGGGGGGCCAGGGGGGCCTGGCCCCCCCACTTTTTTCCCCAACAGTACCTTTACTATAGTAAATGTTCATTGATAGGATGGTTGGCCCCCCCCCACTTATAACCATAGTATAGTGATAGCAAGGATTGTAAGGAAAAAATGGAAGTGATAGTAAGTTGGCTTTGAAAAAGTTGGCCACTACCCCCCCCCCCCCCCCCCCCCCCCCCCCCCCCCCCCCCCCCCCCCCCCCACGAAATAGGATTTTCGAGTTTGGGCAACTTTTAATTTTGATTTTTTTTTTGCTTGTCAACTTTTTCAGGTAAGTAAAAAAAAAATTTTCTCAGGTTGGCCCCCCCACTTTCAAAAACGATGCTACGTGCCTGATTAATACCGGTACTTTATTAGATATTCAAATGGAGTCAAGCTGGATTTCGTAAAAATTGTTTTACAATTGATCACATATGTAGTATCCGGAATTATAATGTCCTATCATGGTTCTATTATTATTTCTATGTACCGGAAGTGTACAGTGAATAAATGATGTAAACAGCACATGGTTGTCGTGTCTGGAATGTATCTGATAAACATCGGTCATCCTCACTAATCTATAACAATAGATACAACAACTGGCGACGAGGATGGACATTACGCTGCCATTATTTCCGCAGTTTGACCTGGAAACAGACAAAATCAACGCAGGGCCCCGATGGGACAGGTGGATAGGACGCCTGGAAAATTTGTTTATTGCTCTGAAATTAGTGAATCCAGTGGTGCCCGACGGCGAGGAACCTGATCAGAACGTGATCAAGGGTATAGACGATAGAAAAAGAGCCTTATTGTTACAGTATGTCGGCGAGAGAACGTACGGTATATACGAGGCGCAGAAGGGGACAACAACTCCAGATTACAGCGGTACAAAAAAGGTACTTACTGATTATTTTCGCCCTAGAAAGAACACGCAAATGGAGATATATAACTTCCGTTGCTACAAACAAAAAGAAGGCCAGTCCCTTGATGAATTCCTGACAGAACTTCGAAAACTAGCGAAAAACTGTGAATTTGCTGACACAGACAGTGAAATTTTGTCACAAATTATTCAGAACTGTAGATCTAATCAGTTAAGACGAAGGGCACTGAGAGAAGCTGATAAGACTCTTGATGAAATTATTCAGCTTGGTCGTGCAATGGAAATCTCGGATTCGCAAGCTACAGCAATGGAGAGGCTAGACACAGCGAGTGTAAACAAAGTGTTTAACAAACGACCAAACCGACATCACTCAAAACCAGTAAAGCAACAAAACCATGTCTCGAAACCAAAACACAAAGGACAGTGTTGGAATTGTGGTGGACCTTTTCCACACTCGGACCGTCCATGTCCAGCAAAAGGACAAAAGTGTCACGACTGTCATAAAGTAGGACATTACAGAAAAATGTGTCGCAATAAGAAACCTCAGAAAGTGAGATTAGTCAACAAAGAGGACAATAACCAAGACTATAATGACAGTGATTCGGATGGTTATTGTTATGGAGTTAAACTCATTGGACGCACAGAGAGTATCAACACGGTGCGAGGTCCTTATGTTACAGTGAACTTGAACAACAAGAAACTTAAACTGTTAGCTGACAGTGGATCCTCTGTGAACATTCTAGATGAGACAGATTATGAGAAGATCGGGGAACCAGCCTTACACAAAGGAAAAACGCATGGAAAATTAGTTCCATATGGTGTAAAGGACACAATTAAAGTGCTCGGCACATGTGATGTTAAGATTGAAGCTCCACAGAAGTTTACTGTGTGTACATTCTATGTAGTGAAGGGGAGAGGAGGATCCCTACTAGGATACCCTACTGCGAGTGAACTGAACATTATTAAAGTGATCAACAAAGTCGAAACACTTGGAAGTAATGTTGAGAATGACTTTCCTCATCTGTTCAGAGGAATAGGTAAATTCCGAGGACAGCAAGTGAAGATTCATATTGATGAATCAGTACCTCCAGTAGCACAGAAACCCCGGAGGACTCCATTTCTTCTACGCAGTAAAGTTGAAAAAGAGATTCAACATCTACTAGACACAGACATTATCGAAAAGGTTGAAGGCGAACCAACCCCATGGATCTCCCCCATAGTTACTCCGCCCAAAAAGAATGGTGAAGATATACGCCTCTGCATTGACATGAGAGAGCCAAACAAAGCTGTACGCAGAGAGAGACATACTATGCCCACAATTGAAGAACTAATTTTGGATCTGAATGGAGCAAAAGTTTTCAGCAAACTTGATCTCCGCAGTGGATATCATCAATTAGAGCTACACCCTGATTCACGATTCATTACTACCTTCAGTACACACCTTGGCATTTACCGATATAAGCGTTTAAATTTCGGGATATCTTCAGCATCAGAAATATTTCATGAGACAATCCGACAAGTTATTCAGGACATCCCGGGTGCGAGAAACATTTCTGATGACATAGTAATATTCGGCACAGATCTCCAGCAGCATGACAGAGCTCTTCAGAAAGTCTTACAGCGACTCTCCGATAGTGGACTTACCCTTAACCAGAAGAAGTGTGAGTTCCGAACGAAACGGATTTCCTTCTTTGGTGTTGTATTCTCGGATAAAGGCATATTCCCAGATCCAGAGAAAGTAAAGGCTGTGAAGGAGTTCGGTCGACCTGATAATGTCAAGGAACTAAGGAGTTTCCTGGGAATGACAAACTACAGCTCACGCTTTATCAATGACTATGCCGATATATATCAACCCTTAAGAGAACTTACCCATAATAACGTTCAGTGGCACTGGAGTCCAAAGTGTGAGGAAGCTTTTCGTAAGCTGAAGGACAGTCTGTGTGGAGACACCGTCATATCGTATTATGACCCTTCAAAAGCAGTTACAGTGAGAGTTGATGCTAGCCCAGTGGGGTTAGGCGCCATCCTTTTACAAGAGGACAACAAAGTTGTCTGCTACGCAAGCAGAGCTTTAACCCCTGTTGAGTCAAGATACAGCCAAACCGAGAGGGAAGCCCTAGCAGTTACTTGGGCATGTGAACACTTTGACCTTTACCTGAGAGGCTTGCATAACTTTACCATAATCACTGACCACAAGCCTCTAGAGACCATTTGGAAAAAGCCGCGACCACCACTCCGCATCGAAAGGTGGGGACTACGCTTACAACCGTACAAGTTTACAATAAAATATTCACCTGGAAAGGATAATATGGCAGACTACGTTTCAAGACACCCTGTTCAGCCAGCAACAGATGCGAGAGATTTGTCAGAAGAGTATGTGAACTTCATCGTCCTGGAGTCTTTGCCACGGGCAATAGAATTAGATGATGTGAAACAAGCCACACTAAATGACATTACTTTACAGAAGGCCATTGAGTTTACTAGAAATGGTGACTGGTACAAGATGAAGACTCTGAAACAGGACGAAGCAGATTTCGAGGAACTGACAGCAATCAGCTCAGTGCGCGACGAACTTACTGTTCACAGTGATAACATTCTGCTACGTGACACACGCATTATCTTACCAAAAGCCCTTCGTGACAGGGCTATAGACATTGCACATGAGGGTCATCAGGGGATGGCAAGAACAAAAGCTTTTCTTAGGTCAAAAGCATGGTTTCCTGGCATGGATGGGAGAGTTGAAAATCGTGTCACAAACTGCTCAGCCTGTCAACTCCTTACTCCTGAACGTCATACCATGGAGCCGTTGAAAATGTCGGAACTACGTGGTGGACCTTGGGAGAATTTGAGTATCGACTTCTGTGGACCATTACCCAGTGGAGACTATTTATTTGTGATAATTGACGAGTATTCACGTTACCCAGTAGTCGAGATTGTAAAATCCGTCTCTGCTAAGTCCGTCATACCTGTATTGGACAAAGTTATCAGTGCATATGGGATACCCAAGATAATAAAGAGTGACAATGGAAGCCCATTCCAATCATACGAATTCAGAAGATATGCAGAACATATGGGGTTTATCCATCGGAGGATAACACCACGATGGCCCAGAGCCAATGCTCAAGCCGAAAGTTTTAATAAGCCGTTGATGAAAGCTGTGCGCTCCGCTCATATTGAGGGACTTAACTGTCGGCAAGAGTTGTATCGCTTTCTCAGACAATATCGTGCCACGCCACACTCATCTACAGGACGTACACCTTTCATGTTACTGTTCAATCGGGATCCGAAGACAAGGTTACCAGTAACCACTCACAGAGATTCGGCTCCGAACGACTTTCAAGTTAGAGAGAAAGATAGCAAGAAGAAATTCGACATGAGAAGTTATGCAGACAAGCGAAATCAAGCAAAGGAAAGAGACATTAGTGTAGGAGATTCCGTCGTGATGAAAAATGAAAAACGTGGTAAGATGCAGCCATACTTTTCATATGAGCCAAAAATCGTTACGGACAAGAAAGGATCCATGATCACCGTGGACAGGGAAGTAACACGCAACATGTCACAGTTCAAGAAAATCAATTCAGCAGTGAATGAAGAGTTGGAGAACAGAGCAAGGATGCAGGAGAATAATCATGAGGAAATCGAGTTAGCGATGCACAGTTCTAAAGCGGATTTAGAAGATAGTGTTGTGAAACAGTCCAAGACCAGTCCATCTGTGAAGAACACATCTCAGAAACCTGTTGTGCAACCCTTGAGGCGAAGCCAAAGATCGAAACAGCTTCCTGTAAATCTTAAAGATTTTGTGTTAAACTGACATTATGTTAAGTTGTGGCCATGCTGTGAAAAGGGGCACAATAATCCCCAGCAGGTCACTGGACTAAGAAGTCCTTATTGTTTTATTTCTATATTCCTAAGCATGTAATGATTGTAAAAGACATTTGTCTATCATAAGTTCAATGTTTAAATATAAACTGCTTAATCTTGATTAGTGACAGATGAAATATGAACTGTTTAAAACTGATAATAATTTTGGATGTTTTGGAATTTTAATTTTGTACCATTTATCTAAAGAGGGGAGGAATGTAGTATCCGGAATTATAATGTCCTATCATGGTTCTATTATTATTTCTATGTACCGGAAGTGTACAGTGAATAAATGATGTAAACAGCACATGGTTGTCGTGTCTGGAATGTATCTGATAAACATCGGTCATCCTCACTAATCTATAACAATAGATACAACAACATACTCCCCCGGGATGACTTTGCAAACAATCATCGAAATATTCAAAAATATAATTAAAAAAAAAGAAATTTCTCAGCGTCTTTTTGTTGAGTTGTTTAGGTAAAATATTTGAAAGAATTATTTACAAACATACATTCAAAAAACCTTTTAAAAAGATATTAATCTTTTTACCTGGGCACTCTATTATGTATCTAGTGAAAGTATTGATGAAGGCAATTATAAATTCTGTTGTATGATGTTTTGCGATTTATTGCACTTAGCGTCTTGCATAAAGAGTAGACCTAAATTGGGTCACAATAGGGATTGATTTCCTTCACAATAGGGAGAAGAAGATTTTAAAATATATTTTCTATAAATTTCTATAACACTAGATGAAATCCCGCACAAGCGCGGGGAATTGAATTTATATATAGTTACCATTTTCAATAGAAATATGGTAGTTGTAAATTGTAGTTTTTAATGACAGACTAGACTTTTAGAAGGAAGAAATACTATGATAAAAAAACCCTGCATGAAGTAGATATACGTCACCAACCCCATTTTACTTGTTGTGAAAACTTGAAAAATATTTTTTAATTGACGTGATTCTTGAGAAGTTCAAAATGTGAAAAGCTTACAGACAGACGGACGGACGACGAAAAAATAGGCGATCAGAAAATCTAACTTGAGCTTTCAGTTCAGGTGAATTAAAAAAGAAAATAATTGTAAAGATTCCATTTTGAAGTTTTCTACTAAACAAGTACTAGAATATTTATAGTCTGTTTTCACCTAGATAGTCTACTTCAAGAACTTAATGATCTTCACTTTTCCGGTCTGTTCTGCCACCCAAAGGTTATTATCATTGTCAATGCTAATTCCAGAAGGACGTTCAAGACCGCATTTAAAAACAGTAAGATGAAAGCCCCCTGAGTCTAAAACCTGAATACAGTTGTTGTTTGTATCTGACACCAATATTTGACCATGACTGGTCGTTGTGACATAACGCGGGGCAAAGCTCTGGGGAAGTTTTGGGTTTGTTTTGCAGCAATATCTTGCCTTGAGACTCCCTTCTGGACTCAGGATGATGACTGACGCACCATTCCAATCTGCAATGCAGATATCTGTGTTTCTGTTAAGAGCAATTTGAAGGCATTCGAAGGGACCCTCGGTTGCAAATAAATTTTGTTTCTTATCGTCGAACTGAAATGTCTGTTTAATAAAGCCACCGGAATATTGTATAACTTTGAATTGCTTATTTGAAATTCTGTCATTGTACAATGCGACAAAGATGTCTCCTGCGCTGGATATGCATATACCAGAGGGCATCTAGTCACATTTAATATGGGTCTTCCCTTTGTTCTTAATGCTTTTATTCCTGAAAACTGTGTAAAAAAGTTCTCCTTTTCTAGTAGTTGCTAATCCAAATGGAATATTTTCTTCTTCCTTTATTTTACCGAGTTCTGCCCCCTTGGTGTTAATTTCTCTCAGTATGACATCATTTCCACTTATCCAAGCCTTCTCGTTTGTCAAACAGCTGATTCGGTATAGAGGGTCGTATTCCGTATGTATATCTGTGATGATATGTGGTATTGCAAGGAAATTGCTATATGCCTCTAATCTGCTTAGTAAAGCAGTTTCTGTCTTGTATTCACAAGTTGATGGTTTGAAATTCCCCATTAATTTGCTGATCTTTTTATCAGATGCTGACGATGGTTGAAATTGTGGAAATGACATTTGAAGTGTCTGGGGAATTTGTTTTAATACTTCCAGCTGTGATTCAAAAGTATAAATATTATCATTCCTTGCATCAATCAACTCTTCATTCTTTCTTATGATTTCATGAATAGTATCCAGAAACCTCTGAAACCCCACCAAATTATCCTGGAGTGTAGCCATATCTTTTTTCTCTGCAGCATCAATATTTTCAAGTTGCTCCTTGATCACACGGTCCAATGCGCTTCGTAGTGCCGCGCCATGTTTGGATACATCTGTTTTCAATATGTCGCTGTTTTTTTGCAGCTCCAGAATGTCGTTCTTTAATTTTTCAACAATTTTTTCCACCTCTGGAGCTACAACAACTTTAAGGAACTCTATTTCACTATTAATCTTTTTTTCACTTGCAACATACATTTCCTCTATCCTACTCAGTTCGTGTTCAGAGTGGACTTTTGATAGGATACAAACGCTGCAAAGAGGAAGGTTGCATTGCTCACAGTGAATTTCACACCTCTGTTCAGAATGAGTAGAACAGTATGGATGCGGGAAAAAATTATATTTCAGAGTGCACTTAATGACGTCATGATTTTGAAAAGGTGAAGAAATCACATGCTCCCCGCCACAAGCAACACATAAATTGAATCTGCACGTGTTGCAGATGAGTTCAGCCTTATTTGGACAAAGAGAACACTGAACCAAAACCTGGGCAACTTCCCTGGTTATTTCTGAGTCCTTCTTAACGTGCTCCATTATGTATCAAATTCCGTGATAATCTAAATTAAAAGAAAATATATCAGTTTATAGATCTATAACATGAAATGTGAATAACGGATATGGAGATAACGAACAGTATTCAGTCTCAAAGTCCATTAAACAATACAAAATAAGAGCAGAGCAAACAAGGACCCCCGAAACATCAGAGGTGGGATCAGGTGCCATGGAGGAGTGAGCATCCCTAGCCGAATATATATAATATATAATATAACGAATGGCAAATATGCTCAAAATCCAATTAAGTTTTGGAGCAGTTTGCAAACCCTGGCATATCCGCTGTGTGCCCAATCATGCATTTTAGTGAAGTGAGATATCCGTGGCCTTTTGTTTAGAAAGATACTACTTAAGATACTCCGATCCTCAGCCAGGAAGGATAACTCTTTAATTTATAATTGAATTCAAAAAGTCTCAAAATGAAGCTTGAAAATTAAATCTTTTCATGCAACAAATTTCATTTTATACCTTTCAATGTGCTTCAAGGTTCTTTGAAGTTCTAAGAAAGGTCTTATAAAAAGTCGAAATTTTCACCCCATAAAAGTATTTCAAAATTACATATCTAAAGAAATGTAGGTTCTTTTAATCTAACCATAGATGCCAATGTTTATTAACATGATATGAAATTAGAAGTGATTTTGCAATGATGGAAAATCTTTATACACATTGCATTGTAAAACGATCTAAGTAAATAAATGAAACTAAATTACATTATGTGTATAAAATCGTGCAATTTCTTCAAAAGCCTGGATACCTATAATTTTTATTTCTAAAATATGTTTGTTGATCAAATTTGAATTGGAAAATGCATAGTAGGTTTTTTATTCCCTTTTCCTGAAAAATTTATTTGAGATTTACTGTATCATATGAATAACTTTAAAGATGAAGTTTGAAGAATTATCGTGCGTAAAAACACATTACTTTGAGAATTCAGAGACATTTTTGTGAGCATGTAAGCATTTCAATTAGTCAATGCCTGAATTTCAGATCCTGAGGATCGGAGTACCTTAAAAACAGATAGTGTTTTTGTTTGTGAGTGTTAATAGCGTCACAAGCTTAGAAAAAGACATTTTCTAAGAAAGGTATATCCAAATAGACCGAAAATTAATTTCCACTGAACACAATTCGCGAATACAGCAAACAGGGATATTCGAAAAGAGAGCGGATCGGGTGCCATTAAGTAAACAAACCCTGCCGACCGATTTCACAGAACCCATTGCTTGTTGCCATAAATAAACGAATACCACTTGCAAGCAATGCTATTGTACTGACCATACATTTGGAAAATGTTGATTTTACAGTAACGTAGCATCATTATTGAAAAGTTTTTTTTTTACTTGCCTGAAAAAGTTGTCAAACAAAAAAAAAGTAGGGCCAAACAGGAAAATTCTATTTCGTGTGTGTGTGGGGGGGGGGGGGGGAGGGGGGGGAGTGGCCAGCTTCTTTCAACGCCAAATTTATTTTTTGGCATACAATACTAAATATCCTTTATATCACTTTACTGTAGTAAGAAGTGGGGGGGGGGGCAACCAACCTTTCAATGGACTTTTTCAATAGTAAAAGTAATGTTCGTGAAAAAATGGGGGAGGGGGGCTGCCCCCCCCCCCCCCCCCCCCCCCCCGTTGCTACGTGCCTGCTTTAGTCAATTTGCTGGTGTTATTTTATTAAAACCTTATCTGTTTTAGAAATTGATCGTATCAGATCAATTAAAAGACATGTGTCATATATGCAGCTGATAATTTTACATTTATAATTTTACATAAATAAGGTTACTGGTGTCATCACGTTTATAATTAAGTTTAGAGTTTAGGTTTTTGTCTGTCATCAAAATCTTTTTCTATTTTAAACATCCAAAGATGAAATCAACGTGCAATTCTTTGTGATGTATTTTTTAGAGTGCAATGGGAAACATCGAATCGACGTATGCATTAAAAGGAATATTGTAAATGATGAAACGTCCTTAATAAATTTTTTTAGGATTGAAAGTCACGCAGCAAGAATTCATCTTTTATAAGTGTTTTTGATTAAAATTTGCGTCACAAAACTACAAACACAGGTCTGCTCATAAACAAGTCAAAGTTTCAATGGTGTGTTCCCGTTTTGCACACATCTGATAATTAGGTATAGATCGAACAATAGGTGTGAAATGTGTTTTGATAACAATTATAGTCTGATTTCTGGTTAGGATTTACCTGGGTTTACCTGTATTTTACCTGTGTATCATGAACAGGGAGAATAAATATTAATTTAATATATATAAATATTTATTGCAAAACGGGAACAAACCGTTTGAATGCTTAATTTCAAGCAGTACAGAATACGATTTTTAATGATTGTATAAATTTGACACTTTAAGTCCCATATTCCAGGTCCCAGAGGGACAGGAAATATGAAATTCCCAATTTTTGTTCCCCTTTACTTTTTAATGCTATATGCCAAAGTTGGTTGCAGTTTCAGAGAAGGTAAACTTGCATGACAGTTTTCTTTTACAAGAAAGTCAGGGTAGAGACATCAAACTATTGCAATCTAAAGAAAGATCTTGCCACAATGAATACACCTAGTTGTGAAATACAAAAGCCCTTACACGATATTGTTTAGCTGTAGTTACAATTAGTCTTTGATCATAACGTTACAGATCCCGTAATGCCAAAAATGTCAAATTTACGGCGAAAGACTTTTTTGCGTATTGTTTGGGAGAATTTCTCCGCTTTCCCATATATATGACCTACTTAAAATCAGCATTATCCTACTAGAATAAGGAAATCATTGACTTTTCTTTTGTATAAGAATACAAGAGGCCCACGGGCCTTATTGGTGACCTGAGTATTATATAACAGCTTTCCAACAATTGAATTTGGTTCGTGTTTTAAACCAGAGGCCATGAAATTCACAATTTTGAAAGAGGCACCATTGCTTATCATAATTATACACTTAGCATGCTTACTCTAGTTACTTAATACCCAGAGGTAGATCAGAGTAACAAAGAGAAAATGCACTGCACTTCCACTTTATAACCAATTGTGCACCCTACCCCACAGGAACCACTGACCCTGGGGCCACATATTTCAATATTTTGGAAATTTTATCATAAATTTCATTTCATCAGAAATTATAGTTGATTAATACCAAAGAGCAAATTTCAAAGCATTAATTTATTTTCAGACTATGTCACACCCCCTCCCCCCATACTCCTGACCCAAGGGGGCATTAAATTAACCATTTTGCTAGATGCACCTTTCTTCGTCATAAACATACTAGTATATACCTAGATCATTGGCATAATACCCAGGAGCAAAGGAAAAGATTTTCAAAGAATTTATGTATATTCACTATATAATCAAAAGAGCCCCCCCCCCCCCCCCCCCCCGCTACACCAAATTCAAAATTTTGGTTGAGACACTCTTGCTCATTATAACTATATACTAAGTTAGTTTATATCATACCTAAGAGCAGAGGGAAGATTTTCAAAAATTTAATGCATTTCACTATATAATCACTAGAGCCCCGCCCTTACACCAGAACCCCTGACCCTGGGGCCATAAAATTTACAATTTTGGAAAAAAAGCACTCTCGCTCATCATAACTACTTGCATGCAGTATGTACTTATTTAGTTTATTTAATACCCAGGAGCAGAGAAGAAGATTTTCAAAGAAATAATGCATTTTCACTATATAATCTATATAGCCCCACCCTAGCACTAGAACCCCTGACCCTGGGGCCATGAATTTCACAATTTTGGTAGAGAACCCAATGCTCATTACATTCAAGCCTTGATGTCCTGGAGAAAAGATTTTTAAAGATTTCATTAATTTTAGTAGTTTTGGCCACAACCCTCAGACCCCAGGGGCGTGGGGACCATAAAATATTCAGTTTTTGTTCCCCTTTATCCATAGATGCTGTATACCAAATTTGGTTGAAATTGGTTCAGTGGTTTCAGAGAAGAAGCTGAAATTGTTCAAATGTTAACACACGACGCACGACGACGGACAAAACGAATAGCAATAGGTCACCTGAGTGATTTGGGTGACCTAATAAAATGGGAAGAAAACTTGTTAAGTTATTAAGTTATAGTGGAATATTATTATAAATAACTATACCTGGCACTTTTTGTTAGCGCTCTCGAGCGCTAGCAACCACGTTAGTCCATAAGTCTGGAATACGCATGCTCGGTTTTACGGTCGGGCATTCTGAGAAAAATTCACGGTCTAGCTGTCTGTGAAAAGGACCATAGACAGACCGTACGATAACAATTTCGCTGTTTCATTAAATAACACTGGCCTTTTCTGTTTGATTCTGAAGTTTGTTTATTTATTGTGTAGCTTACATTTTTAAAAAGTAATCTACACAAGGTCATTTAATGCCAAGACTCTAGACATCTAGCTTGCGAGTTATACCACTTTCCTGGATTATTCCGTCAACCTCATAAAGTTCTTTTTTTTTCTTTTCAAAGTTTGTTGGCAAGACACAATAAGCGATTGATACTATGCAGTTCCGTGCTAATATAATTTTTAATTCTATGAAATAACACTTCACAAAAATTATAACCCTATCAGACTCCAGACTCATTAAACATTAAAGATTTCAGCAAAATAATTTAGTTGATCACGAACCTTACTTTCTGAGCTTAAAAATTGCTACGGCGCTAGCTCACCTATTTTCTTTAAAAGATAAACTTGTATTGCTATAAGGAAACTCTAAACACTGCACAATAAAGAGCTCCACTGAAAGGGTATAGTTTTATGCACTTAAAGTGATCTGCCTTTAGAAGTTAGATTGAAAAAAATTGTTATTTACAGTTCATTACTCGATTCATATTAGATTAAAATATTTTTAGCTTTGTATAATACCAAAAAAAAGTAATCAAACTCATTATTTTCATTAATTTTCCCGATGTAAGTAAACAACAGGGGTTTCTGCTCACAAATAGTCCTTTGTCTTTGAACATTTTTCCTGCAGAATTAAGACAGGTACCCTATCTTGT